AATTATCAACATATTTTACCGGGTGTAACATCGAAAAATTCATAAGTACGTAGCCTACTTCGTTTGGTCGGCAGTTGGTTTCTGTTTACTCGGCCTCTAACTAACGTAGAGTGGGGAGTAACATGCAATGAATCTTAATTTCTGCTACATATTAATTAATTATCATGTTTCTTAATTATGAGCAAAATTAGTTTCAACTTTATTTAGCATGCCTAGATTCTCTCTTGTCTTTAGTTTTGTTTTGCATCTCAAAGTAGGGTTCATGTGCTTAATTCCAGTTAACCTTTTACGTACTAATTAATTAATTAAAATAAAGAAAAGATTGATAGTATTCAAGTATTTCATATTATTAGTAATAACTAATCAATTATCATTAAGTTTGTATATAATATATTATAATGTAGGAGAAATTGATAATTTCAAATTTCAAGTGGATTGGGATTGGGTCAACGAGATGGGCTTAACGCCTTAGCTTTGACCCATCTGCAGTTGACCGAATTGGTCAACGATATAACTTATTTTTTTGATCTTATTGTTGAAAGATAGCTATAATCTAAATTAAATGGAGCAGACCACGATAATAATGGTGTACATTTCATTTAAAGTTAAAATCATATTGTAAATTGTAATAACTTTGGAATTCCATGTAAAGTTTTCTTGATTTTGCATTTATTGCCTTATTAACAAAATATTGCATGATTTACGCCATGTGATCTTGTTATAAATTCAACCTTATTTATTACTATTATTTTCATTTTTTTCCCTATAAATAAATAAAATCATCCAAAGCACATTGGCTTATTAACAAAATGGAGCATAAATATATCAACATGATTGTGATCCTAACTCTCCTATTCTCTCTAGCAAGTTCGTCTCGCACTCATCCATCTACGATGAAAACTTCCGTCGATGTAGTCTTTTTTTTTTCTCTCTTTAATAACGACGAGATTAAGTTACTTATTATTGTTGATTATTTTAATCGATTTTGTTTTACGAGAATAGAAAGCCGAGTTTGAAGGAGAAAGCTGCGAAGGAGTGGGGAGTGACGAGTGTTTACTGCGAAAGACGTTGGATGCTCATATCGATTATATCTACACACAGCCCGCGCCTCACCATGCTTGAACGTTTTTTTTCTTCTTTGTTCTAATATAATAATAAATAATAATGTGATTTTCTCTAAAAGAAGATTCAAGGAATTATATGTGTGTGTGAATTGTTTCTATTTTCTTCATTTTTAATTAGTATTGTGCTAATTAATTAAATTAAACATCTCCAAAAGTGTACAGTTGGAAGTTGGGCTATGCTTTTCCTCAAGACAGATAAAATTGAAGTTGGGCTTTGGGTTGATTAATTGGTACTACTATTTAATTTGCTAGACTGTATTATATAATGGGCCAATCACAATTTCAAATCAATAAATAATTAAATATACAATTTCAATAGCTTCCTAATTTAATTGAACTTAATCCCTCAATTATTTAATTCACACTAGAGCCATTACCACCACACAAGCCACCTAAAAAATTCAATACCAATTATTGAAGCTAATTAAACATAAATACTATTCCTAACCCATCAAACTTCCATTACAATTCAACTCAAAGATAGAGATGCTGACGTGTGACGTGTCCACTTGGCATGATAATCAACATTAATTCAAAGAAAAGATAATCAATACTATTGAATTTTATTTTTTTTAATTTCATGTTTGGCACACTACAATCTATTATGCAAAATTCTTAGCTAGTAGGCTACAGAATTTTCCCTCTGTTCATACTATATATATATATATATATATATATATATATATATATATATATATATATACACGAATATTCACCATTTTATTTCAATTATTTCATATCAAATCATTTTTCAATTTTTCAATTTTATTTTCACCAAGAGAGAGAAAAAAAAAAAAAGAAGAGAGAGAAAGAAAGAGATGAAAGCAAACGCGAGCCAGCAGAACAAGTTCCTCCGGATAATCACGACTCCATTTCGGGCCCTCGGCAAGGCCCGAGACTTCTACGTGAAGAGAATCATGGATTGCGCCGGCAGCAACGTAATAGGATTGCAAGCTACGTCGCAGGCGCCGGGCCTACCTAGAAGCTTCAGCACCGCCAGCAGCTCGGCCCGATCCGACAACGACGAGGACTATCGGGAGCTGGTTCGTGCCACGTCAGCTGGACGGAGCATCGGCGGCGGGGTTGATTTGGAGGCGTACCTGATGAGGCGGGAGATGGGGATGAGGGGGGGCTCCGGCGGCGGCCCGGCGACCATGCCGCCGAGGAGCTTAACCGTTTCAATGGGGAGGATTGATGAAGAAAGGCCTTGTTGCTATTTTCGCGAAGATTTTTACGGCAGGAGATCAATTGTTAATTCCAAGAATGAATTGAAATACCCTAGAAGCAAAAGTCACGCCGTGGCAAGAACCCCCTTTTAATTTTTTTTTTTTATTTTTTTTTATTTTTTTAATTTAATATTAATGTTTATTTTGATAGAAACATGGGAAATGCTCCCAATTTACTTTTACATATACGTATTTGATATTTCACATTCTTTTTTATTTTTTGGTAATATTTTTTATTTATTTGGTTTGATGATGATGCGAGTGAGCAAAAATTATAATAAGATTGCGCGCAAAGATATTTATTTTTTAATTAAATTAAATGTCATTGTTTCTGTTAGATTGTCTGAGAACAATTTGAAAATAAAATAAAGTTTGTTTGTGTTTTGAGAGGAGACAATTTGTACTGTAGCAAGTCAAATCATGTCTAAAAGGTGTTGGAAAAAAGTATTTTGGAAGAAGAATTTGAAGGATAAAGTGATTTTAGTTTGTAATTTAGTGAAGACAATTTTCACTGTAGCAGTCAAATCATGTATTGGAGAGAGAAAAATTTGAATTCTTTTTGGGGAAAGTTTTTGAAAATATTTCAAAAAAATAATTTTATTTTAGGGAAAGAATAAAAAGAATTCGAGAAGCTTACCAAACATAGCCAATAAGATTGCGCACAAAGATATTTATTTTTTAATTAAATTAAATGTCATTGTTTCTATTAGATTGTCTGGTTTGTACTTCGGCTTGAATCCCACCTACCTAATTAAGCCAAATTCAAATCAGATCAAATTAAAATATCATGTTTTTAAATATAAATATAATATTAACTTTTTATATTAACGGTTAATAATCACATGATGTAATTGCAACATCAAATAAACTGAGACTCAAACAATAAGCACGTCTCTCATATTGCGATAGAAAATCCAGGCAAACTCATTAAAAATATTGTGAAAATATATTATATTTGTTGTTATATATATCTTTCACTTGAATTATAATTTATAACATAGATAATCTATCACAAAATATGTTGGTTTCAAGTCAATGCATGGATAAGTTGTAATAGAAGAAGCGTCAAATAATTCGATTTTTCTAAAATCTCTACCCTTCTAGATAATTGGTGTTTTAATTCGAAAAGTAATTAGCAGAATTGAAGTCAAAGTCAACAAGGTACAAGAAAAATCGTACAAATACAAATAAAAATAAAATATTAGGCCGAACCATAAAAATGTCACACAACGGCACTCCAAATAGTCAAAATTCCATGTTTTCAATTATTTCAAATATTATTGGGTAAATTACAATCACCATGAGTATGGTCAAATTACAAGACCCCTCTTGTTTGAATAATTACAACCACCCTTCAACTCTTCAAATTTAGTGAAATCTTCGAGATTATATGGAATATTATCACTTTTAGCCCCGTTTAATCCCATTCGAACTCTACATTTTGAAACAAGATGAACATAATATGTGTTTTTTGGCTTGTATATATCAGATTATGGTGCATCAGAAACTGTATTTTTACGCAAAACGAGTACAAACTAGAGCACATTCCACGAAATCTAGATGATTATGTTGAATTTGACACCATAAGGGTGGAGGTATAAGAAAAAATCATAGTTGAGGGGTAGATGTAATTATCCAAACAAGAGGGGTTTTTTTTAAATTGACCATACCTCATGGGGTGTTTGTAATTTACCCAATATTATTTGTATAAAATTAAATATACTATGGGCTAATCAATTTCTTAAAAAAATATACTATTGTTATTATTTAATTATATAATAATATAAAATGAATTAATTAAAGAGGCGAAAGTGAAGCAATGACTAAAAGCACTTGAATGATGTCTTCAGCTCTCCGGTCGGCCCGCGCAACCTCCGGCGGCTCAACGCCGCCGTCTTCAGTAAATCTATCGTCGCATGTTTCGACGCCGACCAGAGCGCCGGAGGCGTTGCGTCTGAGTGCATCCCTGTCTCGAGATCGGAGATTCTGTTTGCAATCGTTCAGGTAATCAACGGCGTCGGTGAAAAGCTCTATACACGTGTCGGTTACTCCGCCCTTCGCTCTGCCTACCGGCGGTATCGATTTAATCACGTCTGTCGCCGCTCTAACGGCGTCTTGCCCTTTCTCCACCACGATGGCGCCCAGACCCGCCAGATCCGACCCTTTCGACGCGGGTCGGATCTCAGTACCTGGTTGCATAGCGACGGGTTTCTTGCGCTGGAGCAAACTTTGCTTATCAAATCTGCTTCACTACTTTTGCATATCATCATGAAGAGTGCTATCGTTACGGTCACCAACATAAACTCAGAAACTGCCATTATTATTAATTATTATTATTATTATTATTATTATTATTATTATTAGGGGTAATATGCCAGGAGTTCCTCAAACTAAACTTAATTTGAACTAAATGACAAGTCCAAATTCATTCTTTTAATTAAATCCTTAATTTGAAATAATATATGAGCCACATCCCTAATTTTTTTTAGGGGTCTTAAGAGATAGGTCCCTAGTGACAAAACTAAATAGAACTAAATGACAATCTCAACTAAACATTTGCTTCACATTTTTTATTAAATTCATTCCAAAAATGCCCTTTTACTCATTTTTATTTTATTGTTTTTTACTTTATCATTTTGTACATTATTATAAACAAATTATTTTTTTCCGTTTTTTTGATTTAAAACTTACGAATTTTTTTTCTCGTTTTTATTAAAAATAAAGCAGATTGTAAAAACTACTATGGTGTACTATGATATACTATGGTACACTGTTGTATTATAAATTAAAGTATTAATAAAAAAAATCATTTTTTCTACATTATATTGAAAATTACAAAACCAGCGTGTGTTTTCGTTTTTTTAAATTCAAATTACGTTTTTTTTTTAATTTTTTTAATTTAATCTATTTTTTTTTAGGGGTCTTAAGAGATAGGTCCCTAGTGACAAAACTAAATAGAATTAAATGACAACCTCAACTAAACATTTGCTTCACATCATTTATTAAATTCATTCCAAAAATGCCCTTTTACTCATTTTTATTTTATTGTTTTTTACTTTATCATTTTGTACATTATTATAAACAAATTATTTTTTTCCGTTTTTTTGATTTAAAACTTACGAATTTTTTTTCTCGTTTTTATTAAAAATAAAGCAGATTGTAAAAACTACTATGGTGTACTATGATATACTATGGTACACTGTTGTATTATAAATTAAAGTATTAATAAAAAAATCACTTTTTCTACATTATATTGAAAATTACAAAACCAGCGTGTGTTTTCGTTTTTTTAAATTCAAATTACGTTTTTTTTTTTAATTTTTTTAATTTAATCTATTTTTTTTTAATATTGTAGTAGACTATAGTATACGGTGGTGTACTATGATTTACTATGGTGTACTACAAAACCCTAGCAGCCAACAACACAAATCTCACCAACTCTAGCCGTCAAAATCTAGCCGTCAAACCCTAGCCGCCTACCTTCACAGCCGTCGCAACCATAGTCAACTATCGACATTGAGAAAACCTAGATTTACTATTTTTAACCCAGAATCAAACAAAATTTCTTGAAGATCAAGAAAATTAGAGGCAATTAGTAAAGAATATACTTTCAATTAAATTTCCACCATAACCACATCCCTCACCGCTTCATCGACCTCCACAGCCCCCACCACGGCCGCCACAACCACCATGGCGGGACAGCCCCTTCGCCATCGACCTCCACAGCCCCCACCACGGCCGCTACAACCACCATAGCGGGACAGCCCCCGTCGCCGCCTCGACCACTATGGCGGTCAGCCCCGCATCGACTATCAAAGCCCCCTGCCGCCACCTTCACCACCACGACCCCTCGCTGCCGCCTTGTGCACCACAGCCCTTTGCCTTGTGCTACAACTGGAGAAGAAAGCAAGAGAGATATAGAGATGGAAAAGTGATAGAGAAAAAAAACGAGAGAGAACGTGTGAGAGGGAGAGAACGTGTGAGAGAGAAAACGAAGAGAATACCGAAAGAATAAAATAAATCTGAATAAAAAAACGTGAATATATGTAGGTTAGGGGATTTAGGGTATAAGAGCAAGATTGGGATATAAAAGCTTACTAAATCATAATAAATAGATTGTAGGTCGTGTTTGCGAATGAATTTTATGTCAATTGTTCGGTTTTTATGTTTCTTGTCTTTTAAGTTTTAATAATTGGGTAAAACATAAAAAAAAAATTAAAAAAAGGTAAAAAGAAACTGCAAGATATTGTTTATCTTGGACTATTACTAACTAGTACTTCACCCGTGCGTTGCACGAAAAATTCATCATAAAAATAAATATTTAATTTTAAAAAGTTATCGGAATAGTAAGATCAATGTGCAATACAAAGTTAATTTTTTTTATTTCATGTAGATAACAAATTCAGCCAAAATAAGTGAAAAAAAGGTAAATATCGAAGGTTTAATTTCCGTATACAAAAGGCGAGTACATCGTTACCATTACCGTTACCGTTACCATTACGATTACCATTACCAATACCAACACCAATACCAATACCAACACCGTTACCGTTACCATTACCATTACCATTATCATTGCTATTATCATTACGATACCAATATTGATATAGATACCGATACAAATACCGATACTCATACCAATACCAATTATTACCATTACAACTACCGTCACCATTATCATTATCATTACCTACCATTGCTAATACTAATACTAATATAGTAATACTAATACTAATCTGATAATAATACTATTACTATTAGTTATCCTAATGCTAATCTTAATCATAACGTTAATGCTAATCCAAACCATAATCCTAATCCTAGTACTACACCCAATCACTATTCTAATCAAAATTATAATCATAATCCTAATACTAATATTAATGTTAATCTCAATTCTAATACTAATTCTAATTCTAATTATAATCCTAATCCTAATAATAATACGAATCATAATTCTAATCCTTATAGAAATGCAAATATGCTATTGCTAACACTAATTTTAATACTATTCTTAATATGCTAATGCTAATGGTAATGTTAATCATAATTCTAATCATAATTATAATTATAATGCTAGTAATATTAATAATCAAAATGTTAATATATCGCAATACTAATATCCATACTAATATGCTAATAATAATGCTAATGCTCATCATAATACTAAACTAATACTTATATGCTAATGCTAATGCTAATCATAATATACTAATGCTAATGATAATCGTAATTCTAATTCTAATGCTATTGCTAGTACTAATGTTAGTCCTCAACTAATGCTACTAATCCTAGTCCTAATGCTAGTGCTAATATTAATCATAATTCTAATCTTACGCATAATCATAATGTTAATTCAAATGCTAATGCTAATGCTAATTCTAATTATAATTCTAATGTCAGCGTGCTAATTCTAATAATAATAATCATAATCCTAATCATAATCATAATAATAATCATAATCGTAATCCAATCCAAATCCTAGTAGAAATAATCATAATACTTACTAATACAAATACTAATACTAATGTTAATACTCATGGCCGTTCCTGAGAATTCAGGGGCCCAAGGCGAGATTTAAAAAACAACTTAAAACCGGGGCACCTATTTGACAAATCAATTTTATTAAAGGGTGTTCAAAATTAAATATACTAAAAACATATAAATAATATTTTCTAAAAATGATGAAATAAAGATTACGGGGGTTTGTGGGCAGTGCCCCCGAAACATTTTTGAAATGTATGAACATAAAATAACTTCAAATGTGCAAAAAAAAATCAAAATTAACAGGATAATTTGCTGGTTCACTTCCTCCCGTGACGTATAATCTTTATAGCAAATAAACTTCATAAATATTTATAAAACTTTAATAGACTAATGAATAATGATTCTTACTTTAGGTATAATAATAAATAATTAAGACATTATAAATTTAATATTTATGGGCCCCAAGGTTAAGAAAATTGAAAAAATATCTATTGATCTTTATATTAAATTTATATTAGAGTTGATGTTCCAAAATATTATATATAATTAATTTTAAAAAATAAGTATTCATATATAAAGTGTATGTAACATAATTTGGGGGCCCTAAATTTTCTTGAAAATCCGGGGGTCCTAGGCAACCACCTACTTCGCCTCCCCCAAAATCGCCCTGTTAATACTAATACAAATATTAATACTAATACTAAATACTAATACTAATACTAATACTAATACTAATACTAATACTAATACTAATAATACTAATAGTAATATTAATACTAATGCTAATACTAATACTAATACTAATATTAATATTTTAGTCATATTAAAACTAATACTAATACTAATACTAAACTAATACTAATATATTAATGTTAATCCTAATATATTAATGCGAATTCTAATGTTATTATTAATATTAATGCTACTCCTAATTATAATACTGATGTTAATACCAATTTTAATGCTAATGCTAATACGAAACTAATCTCAATCCTAAGACTAAACATAATCCTAATATTATAATACTTATTCTAATCCTTATCATAATCATAATCCTAATACTAATTCTAAAATGGTAATGCTAATGCTAATACTAATGGTAATGCTAATGTTGATGATAATATTGATGTTGATGTTAATGCTAATGCTAATGCTAATGTTAATACTAATGGTAATGCTAATGATAATCTTAATACTCATGTGAATGCTAATACTAATATTAATATTAATCGTAACATTAAATAAAATCAAACATATTTATTCCATAATTAATTAATATTTTCTTTTAATAGTGCACAAAAAATAATTAGGAGTACAAAAAATCCGTTTACTCCAATTAAAACATATCTGTATGAAGTAATATATGGAAAAGGAATTGATGACATATTTACTTTATAATTTATTTCCATTATAAATTGCCGTTTATCCATTTTTTTTTAAATCTAGTAGTTAGTAATATTAACAAAATAGATATTTTATAAATAGATTATCAATATTTAAATGGGTTTAGGTTAGTTAAAATAACTAAAATCATTGAACACATCTAATTCACTAAACAATTACTTATTGTAAATTTTCGTTTATCCATTTTTTAAATTATTTGTCAAGTGATAATAACAAAATAGATATTTTAAATGTAATTTTATATATTTGTTGTTTTATGTTATTCAGAGAAATTAATATCGTTCAATGCACATAATTCACCGAACAATAACTTAAAATTTTAAAATAATTATTTCACTATGAAATAAATAAACAATTATTACTTTTCCAGTATGAAATGTCATTTAATCATTTTTTAAAATATTTTATCTAGTTGTGGTAACAACATGGGTATTTCGAAAATTATTTACCAAAATTTGAATGGGTTTATTTTAGTTGAGGCAACTAAAATAGTTAAAAACACAAAATTCATCGAACTATAATATACAATAAAAAATATTATTTTCCCATTATAAAATATCGTTTACGATTTTCTTAAATGTCGTTTCTAGTAATGCGAACAATATAAATATTTTATAAATTATTTATCCTTATTTAAATAAGTTTTAGATTTTGTCAAGACAATGAAAATACTACAACACGCATGCATATATAATCACCAAG